TTTCTTATGATAGAGCTGCTAATGCTTCTTTATCTTTGCATGTAGTGTATGTATGTCCCTTTACAACCAGGAATTTGATAGAGATTACAATCCCAAGTAATTCGAAAGAGGCAATTCAACATAATCAGACATTTTAACAAGAATGACAGGCTTACTAAAAAGTACTGAACACATATCTACTATGTAAATATGATTAGTGGGGATGAAAGAGAAAACTGCTAAATTCTGTTGAATACTTTCTTGGCATTTTTTATATTCTAGCAACTGTGCTTCCACTTTATATTTTAGCATTCCACTCAGGCTTCACAGTGCCTAACAATTTTCACAGGAAAAGATCACAGGTGTGCTTACATCTGTTAGAACTGCAGAATTACTCTACTGCATTTTAAACTAAAGCCACAATGGGTAATTCCAAATTCCATGAAAGAACGCAGAGACACACTTACATCACTTGTGTTAATTAAGTTCGACTTAGCCAGCAAAATTTCAGGAGTATCAGGCATGATGTGAACCTGAGTCTTGTCCTTGTCCCAAGCTTCTCTATACAGTATCTGAAGAGAGACACAAACAAAAATGCTTTGTCTGAGAAAAGGCACGTATGCATAGCAGTAAATTCAGTTTACCTTTTCTCTACAGTAGTAAAGCAAAGATGTACTATGCAAGCATGAGCAATGTAAAGAATGCAAGATATGAAAATCAAATAATACAACAACCTTTTACTGAAATACCACCTTTTCTTCTGTTTTACATCCAGGAAACACCAAGGAAACAACATTATGTCAATATATTTACATACTACGTCGTGTCTTATTTGCAGTTATTACTGAAAAAGTAATAGAGCGCTAAAGACTTTAATCTTCTGAACGAGGCACAGTGCTTCTCGACAACTGAGCAGTAAGGCTCATCTGATATTTGTATATTTTAAGCACGTGTTCTGATACAGAGATCTCTTTTAACAAATGTGATTCAATAAATGAATCCGTTAGTATACATGTTCTGTCTCTAAAGGCAACTTACATCACTTCTATTTTTGGCATTAGATTTTGCTAAAACGATATCCATGGCATCTGGGATACTTGTGAACTTAATAGTATCTGGGTGCTGCCGGTACTTCTTTTCACTCAGGATTTCAGAAGCTTTCTTGTTCTTTTCAGATTCCAAAGATCCCAAAGGACTCCATCCAAGACCCCTGAGCCACTGTAGATCTGACTTATACAGATTCTGTTAAGGAAAAAATCATAGTAGATTATTTCCTTGTTCATTTATTAAACCATATTAAAAGATTAACTGCTATTTTAGCTTCAATCTGATCTATACTGACATCAAAGCGTTATTAAAGACACTTTGCAATAAGCAGTAAATATCTTACCCAAAAATAAATTAATCAAATCCAGAGGAAGCTTACATCACTCTGTAGCTCGTAGACCCTCTTTGCCTGGGTGACATCATTCTGGTCTGGCAGACACGTCCAGCGGTGCAGCATCCGTTTGTAGTCTACATCACTAACCAATTCCTGGCATTTCTTAGCCAGAAGGAAGCCTAACATATCCACAGGCATATTGAACTTTGTCTTCCACTTCTCAAAATCTTTCTTGTACTCCCTGTCACTCTGCATCTTGGCTACTTGCATAGACCACAACATCTTAGGATCATCCTGTAAGCTGCGGAATCCAATGTGATGTCCCTGCTGCTTGCGGTAACCTTCTTTGTACTTGTACTAAAATTAAAAACATTGCATGATTGAAAGCACAGTAAGAAACAGACATAAAAAATATGTAAGCAAAATATCAACATATTCACTGAGTTCAATGTTTGCATTACCAATGGAATGAGCAACTTGTTACAGATCGCACACAAAGTTTTAGTAGCCCCTTGATTAATGTGCATCACTTGATGCCAGTGAATGCTCTCCCTGGGAATGGACAGAGTCCCTGGAGAGGAAGAGTGCAGGGCTTTAAGGCCTCCAGTGCCGTCTGATTCATATAGTCATGCTGTCCAGAACTCCTAAAGGCTGACACACTGAAATACTTTGATGAACAAATTAATCAGCAATGAAAAAATGCAGATGCTTAAGCATTGGAAACATTTCCTAATGATTAATAAAAGCTCTCCCATTAATGCCGGAGCAGTGTTCACACCAAGTTATGATAACAGCAAGACGTGTCACTACGTCTATTTCAGAGTTGTAAAGAGGATTTCTCAGCGTAGGCACTGGGATCACCTAACTGGACCAAATTTCCCGCTGCTCTGAAAATGTAACACCCAAAAGAGCAGACAACTCCTAATTTGTACGACTAGCCACTTCGTGGATGGACCACAATGTTTGGAATTGTCAAGATGCCAGAGCAACCCTTAAATTGTTTTCTTCACTGACAAGAACGGAGCAGGAAAGAGTTCTGTCAGGAATTTTGTTTTTCTACCCCAAACCTCACCTTAGCAGAGAGGTGCATCTGGGCCTAGTGTGACTCTGTAGGTTATAGCAACCAGATAAAGTGCATGCCATCCAATTAGAAATGTTGCTTACGTCACTTGCAATGTCCCTTGAAGATTTAGCAGCTTTCACTGAAATGGCTTCAGGTGTGAGGTCATAGCCTTTCTTTATCATTTCCTCCCAGCCAAGCTTGTATAGTTTCTAAAATTGAAAACAAAATTAATTTAAAAGTCTTAGTAATACATACATCTTTTATTTAGATATGCTAATGAACTGTATTACCAAATTCTGGTCACCTCACAGGCTTCAGTTACAAGAGAAGGGCTACTATTATGGGAACTGAGAAATGGGAAACTGATAAGCAAGGAACACAGGTCTTCCAAGTCTTGGGCTAGTGATTAAATTGGTTTTATTCACTGCAGCAGCTTCCTTCTATACCTTATCTTGGGGATTTGAAACCTATCCGGGGAATTTGAAATACATAACATCTGGGATAACCAAAAACTTTTCAATTAGCTTAACAACATTTTAGTTAATAAGGCTGTAATGTAGCCATTTAACAGTCAATACAGGTTGTTCACAGTCAATTTTAAGTAGCAGCACTTGCAAGTCAAAGATTTGCCTCTGAGCAATTGTGCAAAGCAAAACCTAAGTATTTTATACTGGCATAATTGTCATTTTCTCATATTTGAAAGCTGACAGAAAAGTTAGAATCACTGTGTGTATTTCTTTTCCCATATGTTAAATTAAAAATGGACATAATGAAGTTAATGTTAATGGACATTAATTTTTAGTAAGAAATTTTTAACAGGATTCATTTCTATAGTAAGCATAGAGCACAAACTATGCACATCCACGTTTCAAAAACAGGACTTGTATTTTTCCATACATTTTAATGTAATTTAGGCTGTTACTTTGCTAGTCCAAAGATGTCACTTATTGCTACTCTGATAATATTACTCACATAAAAATTCTTGCCTCTAAATCCCCTATTCTGTTTCTTCTAACTCACACAAATTAATTATTTTGAAATGGAAGGCACCTTTAAATTTGAAGACAGTAGATAGCAATTTAAAATGTAATAGGAAATATTAAAAAACTCTACCTGACTGTAGTTCACTTTGTTCTGTTTTGCCTGTAGAATATCTGGCGTATCTGGCATCACATGAACCTGAGTTTTATCCTTCTCCCAAGCCTGAGTATAAGCATGCTATTGAAAAAAGTAACATCACACGTGTTAATATAAATGACAAAGGATGGCTTTTTTGGGGTTTCCACCTTTCCATTTGTGCATTTTGGATATGGATTCGTAAAAAGATGAAGGTGCTGACTTAGATTTATTTTACTGTGTAATGACCTAATCCAGAATCAGACGAATTGGGAACCAGTCTTGCTTCTAACGAAGTTCGACTAGCAAGATTTTCATGGCCAGTGATTTTTATACAAGAATGAGAAGATTAGAGGTTGGAGAGAGAGCAATGAGAAAAATAAGAAAAGATTTTTTAAAATTTTAATTTAAAAAAAATGAAAAAAGAGAAACCTGTAAGTGACGGTTGTTTTTCCCGGGGAAACACTGCTACATAAAGGTGGTGACAGAGACTTACAGACTGTTTACTGACATGGATTATATGTCAATATCTGCCTAATTTTCCCCATAAATACTCACTTTGTTCATTATATTTGCATTCTGCTTCGCAAGGACCATGTCCATGGCATCATTCTGTTTTGTAAAGGGGAACATGCTGGGATGCTGGCGGTATTTCCGATCACTTGCAATTTCTGTGGCTTTCTTAGACTTCTCCACATCCAGAGAACCAGCAGGACTCCAACCGATCCCTTTGAACCACTCATTGTAATCCTGCTTGTACTCGTTCTACCAAACAGAACACAAAAGGGAAGTTTACAATTTAGAAATGGCTCATCCAAAATAATTCTGTTGTTTCCAAAACACGGTCACTCTAAAAAAAAAAAAACCAACAGAAAGAAACCAGAAACTTACGTCACTTTGTATCTGATTCATGTTTCTGTACAGTTCTAAACTCATTGCATCTGGTAGAAGCATGTACTGGTGAATCAGTCGTTTGTAGTTTGTGTTGGTTACACGATCTTGCGCCTCCTTAGCTGCCACGATGCTGAGTGCATCCGAAGGCGTTTGGTAATGCGTCTTGCTCGTCTCATAAGCTTTCTTGTACTCACGATCCGACTGCATCTTCGCCACTTGCATATAATGGACAAGTTTGGGATCGTCCTGAAGGCTGCGGAAGCCTACAAGTTTTCCCTTGTCTTGTTCATAACCTAATTTGTATTTATACTGTAAAGAGAAAAGAAACAGAGATTTTAATTCCACTTCATTTGTTTAATAACAATATCTATCTGTAAGGATAGTAAGGAAAAAACCCCAAAACTTAAATTAAAAATAAGATTTTTACATTGTTAAGAAAACACGACAAAGCATATAGAGGTGGTGGCTTTTTCCACTTACTCTTAGGGTGCACTCTAAAGCAAAACAGATGTCTGGTGTCCCTTCTAAAAACAGTACATTTAAAACATGTGCTTAATAAATGAAATTTCCTTAAAATAGTTTATTCTGCTCCTGCATAAGGTTCAATGTAACCTGGGGTTCAATTGCTTTCTAATCCCATTTGAAATGATGCAATGAAAACATGAAACATGCTGAGAGAAACCAAAATGCAAAGGAACATGTAAGATCTGGTTTGCTGAAGATAGTTCCTTGGAAAAAGTGCACTTTTTATAGTTGAGACACACATATTATCTCTAAGATGAGTTATCACAAACACTAGAACCAGGGTACATTAACCCACACACTCCTCTGTTACTATTGCTGTCCTGCTTCCAATATTTGGCTGAAGTAGCTATTTTTGTGGGAGTCTGCAGCAGTCTCAGAATATTTGAGTTCACATCTAGAGACTAACCACAAAATCCAAGGTGTAATCATCGCTTCCATCAGGTTCACTTGTTCAAATGATGAAAAAATTCAAGACACTTCTCAAGATATTTTTGCACTTTTTTGTTTAATAAGACAAATAATTCAAATTCTTAACCCCTTCCTCAATCTGTAATCAACTCCAGACAACAGACTACTCAGACCACGTATCAATTTCTCTTCCTTCACTGCCTACTGCTTGGAGAGAACTCAGAAAGGAAGTATGTTCCCCTCAGACTTAGAGCAGTGGCAGAGTAAATTGACTTTGCAGTGGCTGCAACACCTCCTATGTTGCCAAAAATAAAAAAAAAAAAAAATGATGGGCTAAATAACATGTCCTTAGGCCCTACCTTCACCACAGCAAATCCCTCATCACTGATATACAAAGGATTTCAAAATGGTCCCGATTCCAGAAGCTCGTATTCTCTGCACCAAGAAAAGTAATGGGACTTTTCCCAAAAGAATAAAGATATCACAGCAGTAAAAATAATGTCAGCCTGTATCTAGTCTTTTCAAGTATTTCTAAGAATGATCTCTGAACATTCTGTCTAAATGACAAATATACAACACACATTTATAGAGTATCCAAGCACCATCACACTGAGAAATTAACTGCCTTTTTTTCTCCTTTTTTCTAAGACTCCCTCATGTAGCTCCTTACCTTTCCAAGAAAGAACTTGTTCTTTAACTCTGTTAGAAAATGTATTAGAAGATACATTGAATATGTCAGTTATTTACAAGCAAGAGAATAAAAAGACTGCATATAATTGGCATATAAAATTGAATTGTGTGAGGAAATAAATGTTTTAGATTATCTGAAATGGATCATTTTTTCTTTCAAGAACTTACATCACTAGCAATATCCCTAGAAGCTTTGGCAGCTTTAATAGGGATAGCATCAGCTCGGAGATCATATCCTTTCTTCCTAGATTCTTCAAATGAAAGTCTGTACATTTTCTGTGAAAAGAAAGAAAAGAAATATCCTTTTAAAAAGCAAAATACATCACACTCACTTAAATAAAACTATTAATTTTATATGGTAACTTGAAACACAGACTATTCCTATGTTTAACACTCCTTGAACAGTTGTTTAAGGCACTCAGGGACCCAGATTGATGGATGCTCCTTCAAAATTAACTCCAATCCTAGCAACCATACATCAACGCAGCCGGACTGCGCTATAATCAGTAACAATAATCTATAAGAAAAGAGTAAGAAACTGCATTTGCTTCCCACATGCACAAATACTGTTGAAAAGTCACATCTATAAGGATGTCAGCTGTTAAAAAAATCAGGTAAATATGTCTATTTCTGTGCACATTCAAGATTTCCACAATTACAAACACCACTTTATTTAGCACATGCAGATTTAACAACTGGCTACTGAAAAACTGTCAGAATATCAGCTGCTACTGAAAGAACAGGATCAATCTGCAAGAAAGAATTTGGAATCCAGCACAAAACTTTGTGCATGAGGAAATAAAATAATAAATACAGCAAAAAACACGGATAGTACTCAAACTCTACTGTTTTGCTAGTAACTATTATATTTTAATGACCTACATGAACACTTCATAATCTGACTATAAATACTCTGTTTTTTTCTTGGCAACTTTTGGTATTTAATCCCGGGGAAGGAAGTAGGGAAAAGGAAAACTAATAGTTTTTTGTGAAATTACTACAGGTTAGGAAAGTGAGAATTAGGGAGAGGCTCATATGCTGTCATCTCACTTATTGCTAATCAAAAAAATAAGAGCAATGTCTCAAGTCCTACAAACAGTACTCACATCACTCAAATTAAATGCATTAGCTTTTGCTAAAGCAATCTGCGGAATATCTGGCATGATGTGAACTTTCTTTTTGTCTTCTTCCCACGCTTGTTTGTACTTGTGCTGGAAGGACAAAAAAAAGAGAGTTGTCCACATAACCAAAACAATTAAGCAAACCAATTTTAAAAAAATATTTTCTATTTGAAAGATAAACTTTCTTTACAATGATGCAACTATTAGCATGGTAGGAACATTCATCTTTTTATTTTAGCACTTAAAAGCAGTACAAATCAGGAACAGCTCTTAGGAAGTTAACTGTATGAGGCTGAAATAAAAGTGGAAGAAATACCAGTCTTGCTGGAGTATTTTATTGCTTGCCTCTTGCCCAGCAGTGTATTCAGGCACACTGACCAGCAGAAAAAAATAGATTTGAAAATGTACTGGGTCTAGCTGGGATGGAGTTAATCCTCTTCATAGCAGCTGGAACAGTGCTGTGTTTTAGATTTGTGACTAGAACAGTGCTGATAATTCCCTAATGTTTTAGTTGGTGCTGAACAGTGCCTGCACAGCATCAAGGCCTCTGTTTCTCTCTGAACCCGCAGTGAACAGACTGGGGGTGTGCAAGAGGTTGGCAGGGGACATCACCAGGCAGATGAGTCCAACTCAACAGAGATATATTCCATATCATGTAATGTCATGCTCAGCAGAAAAAAAAGGGAGAGGAGGAAGTGTAGGGAGGTTTGACATCTTTTGCTTGGGAACTGGCTGGGCATCAATCTACCCATGGGAGGTGGCAAGTGATAGCTTTTGCATCACTTGTTTTGTTTTCTTTCTCTCTTCTTCCACTTATCCTTTGCCAAATAAACATTTTTTACCTTGACCCATAAGTTTTCTTGCTTTTACTCTGCCTTTCCTCTTCCCCCATCCCACCAGGGCAGAAGGGAGGGAGGGAGTGGCTGGATGGTGCTCAGCTGCCTACCGGGGTTAACCCACAACTAAAAGCCAAGTCAGAAGGTATACAAAAAAAATTTATTAGAGGTGGAAGATTATTAGTTTATCTCCTGGAAAATAAGTTGAGGGAGGCAATAGAGCTTTTCTTAGAGGAAACAGAGCTAAGGAAAGTACACAGGAGATTCTGATGGTCCATGTAACTACAATGCATGTGAAGTCCAGACATTTCTAACGAACATCAGCGGATTACCTCGGTGCAGCAGGAGAATCAGAAAACAAATATCTCATTATAAAAGCATTCATTTTGTGTAGTAACTTCCTATTAATGTAACAGGCATCAGATGAAAAAGACTATGCATTCAAAAGTTTAAATCCTATTTCTGAAAGGGATCACTCAAGTATTTTTAGCCCCTAGATTTAACCTGTTAAAAGTTTACATTGAGTTATGTTGGATAATCTTTATTAACATAATTTAATATAAATAATATTGAAATTATTAATTAATTTATTATGTGACCCCTAGGTATGCCTTTATAGGTATTTCTTAGAAATAGCAGGGTCATGCTGTGCTTTCAGGTATCAAGATTAAATACAGTGACAGTCAAGCACACTCCTCAGCTGCCAAAATTGACCGTTCCCAAAGCTATGCATACAGTAACATTGACTATTACATCAGGCCTGTTTCTTAAATGAAAAATTAAATGAACTTCAATGAACACTTTCTTACCTCATCCATGATTTTAGCATTATTTAAAGCTAAGACCATGTTCATGGAATCCATAGGAACAGAATACTTCAACTTGTCTGGATGCTGGCGATACTTCTTTTCACTCACAATTTCCATTGCTTTTTTGTTCTTCTCAGCTTCCAGGGAGCCCAGTGGCATCCATCCAACACCCTTCATACTTTCATCATATTCTGCCCTGTACTGATTCTGGAAGCAGAAAGAAAAGAGAAGAACCAGATGCATGAAAAAGTCTGTAAATCGTGACACTTCTTGCTATGTTTAATGAATATTAGACTTTGAATGCACTCCAAAAAGAGGCACACAGCACCAAGATGCATTCAAGGTTTATTTGGAAACACATTTGTTACAGTGGTGTCTATTTTATTACTCTTGCCTTTTATACAGTCCTCATACCCTCCCTGTGATGTGTACAGATTGCTCGCATGAGATTACACGGTAAGGCCCTCTTGAAGAAGAGGATTATCTTGAACCACTGTACTGAGAAAAAAAGGCCCTCTTCTCTAGAGGTAAACAGCCCAGAAAATCTGAGAAAATAGCTACTTAGCTGTTTCCCCTTCTTCTGAAAAGATATCTTTATGGAAGTACAAGATAAAACTACTAATGAAAAGTGAAGCTTTTCCTATCTTGGCCTGCACACAAGTATTGCTGCCAAAGAGCCTGATGGGACGTGTAAGCAGTAAACATCCATTTTACTTTATACGTAAAATTACTTATTTCTGAGCCCAAATTCTTTAGCAATAAGTGTAATTCAATATTTCAGAGTCTTAGTAAAAGACAATGAGTATCATTATTGAAGGTCTCATTTCATTTACCACATTTTAGCACATAACTGCACTAATTTCACTAAGAAAATAACACTATTTATCTTACAGTATGCTTTCATAAACTAAACATCATTGCATCTGTCATGAAAAGGTTCAAGAATCTCTCACTTACATCACTTTGTATCTGCATCATGTTTTTGGCCAATTCAAGACTCATAGCGTCGGGCAAAACATTGTAGGTATGGATCAAGTTTTTGTAGTTTGCGTTTGTGGCCACTTCCTGGGCTTTCTTGGCTGCCACAACACTGACCATGTCAACTGGAGTATGGAAATTGGTCTTTGCCTTCTCGTAATCTTTTTTGTATTCACGGTCAGACTGCATCTTAGCCACCTGCATGAAGTGCACCAGCTTGGGGTCGTCTTCAAGGCTGCGGAACCCAATATGTTTTCCTTTCTCTTTTTCATAGGCTAGTTTGTATTTATACTGACAGCAGGAAAGAGAAAGAACAGCAAAAACTCAAATTAAAAAAATGCACTATTAAGCTCAATTGTATGTCTAAAAACATACATAATGTTTGGGTTTTTTCATCACAAGATCTCAGGTTTAGTCATTCAGTCTTACAAAACAGCCCACTGAACACAGGCACACGAAGCTCAGCAGCTTGCTGAACAAAGAGCAAAAAAGTAAAATTCGGTGTAATTCCACTGGAGAGCAAGTACTGCAAAGGTTTATCCCATCAAGCATATAATTGAAACCTAGAGAACTCAAGATGTTTGAAAAAAACACATTTCCACCTAACAGAGCACTTTGACAGCTTTCTGATTTCTTTGTAGCTACTCTGAGTACTGTCATGCAATCACACTTACATCACTTGCAATGTCTCTGGAGGCTTTGGCTGCTCTTATTGGAATAGCGTCCGGCTGCATGTCATAACCTTTCTTCCTGTCTTCCTCCCAGCCAGCTTTGTATAGTTTCTAATTGAAAATGTAGAAGAGAACAGGTCCTCTATTACAAAGGCAGAACTACTGAAGTACCTTACATCTGAATTTAAATATTTTCAAAAAAGACATAAAAGTTACATCCATTTTTGACCTGTGCAACAGTCAGGAAATGCCCACTGGGAGCATTGTCACTCACGTTACTCATCGTGATCTGGTTTACTCTAGACTGCAGAATTTCTGGAGTATCTGGCATAACATGGATGCTGGTCTTCTCTTTGTTCCATTTATCAGTGTAGAGCCTCTGCAATTAAAAAGTAATATTTAGCATTGAAAAGGCATTAAACTCATAAAATAAGAGCTTGCTTTTGCTTTGGTCTTTTGTAATAAACAATATTTTACACTGCAGTTAAGTTTCATAAGCACTGCAAATAATCTTCACAAATATAACTGCCGAGTGGCAATATTATATTCCTCCCTTTTTTCAGTACTTCATTTGAGAGATTTGCAAAGTATCTTTTGATAACTAATAAATACTGAAACTGAAAATTTTCAGGCTGCATTCCTCCCCGCTTTAATGCGAAGCATAAATTAGATTTTTTTCACACACCCTCTTTCCATGGCAAACATGGAATACGGATCAGTGGTGTCCCAGATAACTAGGGAAAAATTTAAAGATCTCCACTTTTCAAGGAAACTCGTACAAAACTGATAGAATTTCAGGGGTTTTTTAGCTCACTGATTATGAATGCTACTTCTTGCAGAAAAAGAGCAAAAGTTTCCAAAGCACTATAAATCTGGAGAGGACATCTTTGCTCACATACACAAAAGAGAAACCTTTAATTTCTTATCTTAAATCTTTAATCTTAATTTTAAAAATAAGAAAATTAAACTCCCTTAATTATGAATAGTCTGAGGCTTCTACCACCTCTTAGTGGTTTAACCAAGCAAACCACTACACCCATTATGAAATTCCAACGACTTCA